GGGGGGGTAATTCAGACCCTGAGATAAGGGGGGGCAGTCTCCAAAAAAACATTTTTCGGCCATACGGGCCTCAGTTTGATAAAAAATTAAGGGGGGACCCGGGCCCCCCGGGCCCCTCCCCTGGATCCGCCACTGCTAATGACACTCCCTGTAAAAAGGCCTAAAACACACACCCTATACTACTCAGACATCCGAGTCAATAATCGGTCATGCACCTTCTCAGGCGTTTGACGCGGCAAGGAGTCAACCACAGGCCGCAAACCAATGCATCAATAACAAAGCATATATACTCACTCCTGGTCCCCATCTTGGACCCCTAGTGGCCCAGCAGATCTCTGTTCTGCACATGCTGCACCTCATCCAATCACAGCCGTCCTTTTTGACTAAAATAATCTTACACATTGGACAGTGCATGGCGTCTCCCCCTGCTACCATATTCTAGAAAAAAACAGGTCAAACTCATGCTTACCTGTGTGAACCTCGGTGGAGATAGGTGAGAGGTATTCTAAAGAGGTATTTTCCAACGTCAACATATTTGCTTTACTTAAAGGGGCTGTGTCACGGCAGTCCAGTTCATTTTGTTTTATTTTGCCAATTACTCGCCCTCAATAGCTATGGAACTTAAAGTAGGCAAAGAAATTACATGTAATGACAAAATCAGAGATTAGAGACAAACAAATATGTCCCCTGAGCATTATTTTTGAAGCTGCAAACAGCAGAGATAAACTTTGAAAAACTGTTCGGCTGAACAGTTTTCAAAAACCCTTACTTCAATCCGTTTCAATCTTCTTCAGTTTTGCCCTATCCGTGGCAGCTGTTGCATCTGTTGTGTTATTTTAACCTTCCTTTAATGTTTTAAGTGGTTATTTTTATGTTTCTTTTAATTTAACGGGCGTTTTGCAATAACCTAATTTGGCTGAATTTCGTGACACAGCTCCTTTAACGTCTAGACTGCTACCAGGATATCATCACTGCAGCGCTTTTTGAAGAAACGGTATAGGTATGATATCAATGTGAGATAATTGGTTGCATATCAATAATCTCACCATGTAAGAGTAAGATAAGAGTAAGATGGGCAGAGAAATCGCAAATAACGTATTATTTTATCTGCGCGAGATGGGGATTGGGAAAAGGAGCTTCTTAGACAAAATAGACTTAGGCGCATGGTATTTTGAAATCTTAGCTTGTTCCAGGCCCTGCCTCATACCCAGGCATCTCTCTCTCGATGAAAATTTGCGCGCAAAAGAAGGCGGGAAGGAGAAAACGGGCCATGGACCCTTGCGCTTCGTCAACAGTCACTCGCGTGTCTTTCGAGTTTCGCGCTCTCCTGTGTGCGAAAAACGAAGCGTCTGAGAAGGAGGCAGTTCCAGGCCTCAGTTCCCCATCCCTAGAGCTCTCGCTTTTTCCCGCCCGCTTTTCTGAGACCCTGGAAAAAGTTAGGTATTTCTTAGTGGAAAGCACGCACTTGTTCTTTTTTTTATAATCAAAGTTCTTACGATTGTAAGTTATTACTTTGTAGAGCATTGCGTTGGTATTTCGGAAACGTATGTTGCATTGTGGTTTGAGTATTGCTCAGTTCTTTTTATTTTCCTTCTTCGTTTGTTTTTATTTGCCAATAGCGCTATTAGTAACATCAAGAAACTACCCTCGTTGAGAAAGAGAGGGAGCGTAATAGAGGATTTTTTTCACTCGCTTATTTACTTTCTTATGAAATTATGAATATGTGAAAATCATATATATATAAGACATCATCGCAGTTATATACGCACATATCATCGCAGTTATATTCACATATATGATTTTTATATATTCATAATTTCATTATCATCCTTTCACTGGTTTATAACTAACCAATTCAACGACCTGCTCCCATGAGTTGGCTTGTTAGCCTAATTGGTAGAGCGCTGCACTGGTATCGAAGAGGTCAAGGGTTCAAATCCCGTACAAGCCTGACTTTTTTTCAG